AACCTGCTAGCACTAAGTTGCTAACTGGTTAGCATCAATGCTTCCAAGAAACCAGCCACAATCAAACTTGCTTGCGAACCTTCCGCCACAACAATCCCTCCCCCTAGAGGATCAACCAATCACATTCACTTTATTCAGTCGTGTAAATTCGTGCACCACTTGGGAGAATTCGGAAAAGCGACATTTTGAACAGCCGTTTCCCCACGACTTTAAAGGCTGTATTGTATGCTATTTTATTTATTATTATTTGTTGACTAAATTTGTAATACGAATAAATCAATAAAATAAATAACTCCGTTTTACCACACAGGTTTGAAATTTCAAATTACTATTTTATTTACAGAAATTGATTGATTCCCCCGAACATTTCCTCCTGACCACCTTTTCACATTTGTGACAAACATAGCGGTTTTTTGTGCAGCACTGAAGCACCTGAAGCTGTTTACTTTGCCTCGCCAAAGCTGCTCTTCACTGGTGGAGCGGCTGGAGGTAACCTGAGGAGCGCATGTGGTTTGCACGCCTACCTGTGTGTGATTATAGTAGACCATGGGCTCTGGTTTGGATTTTGGGCCACTGAGTGAACCGGCTGAGGTGTAGGCAGAGCTTGAACAAAAGCTTTCCTACTCATTGGTCTATCCACCCAAATCGCTATCATCAATATTTTGAGGCGTTTATAAAACCTGTTTCACTGTTAAGATTTCTTCTCAATGCCATTTTTCCGTGTTAGCCAAAGAGTTCTAGGTTGGAGGTTGCAAACGTCAATTAACCGCGGGAAGAATTTACAATGCAACTAATAGAGCCGCCAAAATGACGCTATAGGTACCAGATCTGCTCGGGTCCTGCTTCATGGCAGTGACGTTACGCTACATGATTGGCTGAAAGTTGCCACATGATGTAAAACACTGCGGTTGCCAAGCCAACGATAATAACATAAGGCAGGGTCAGTTTGCAGAGTCGGGAGCATCTGTAGCGTTAGCATGTCTAATGATCGATGATGTTTTAACAGATTGATACAAAAACTGAAAAAAATATGTTTCTGGTGTACAAAATAACTGTTAGACCATGATATAAAGGGGGACAGCTGGGTAGCGCTGTGGCTAGCTGTGCTCAGTAGCTAACAGGTTAGCCTCCTTTAGCTCGGTCAGTTAGCCATATTAAGCTACGCTCCTTTTATATTTGTATCAACAACAACCGTTTGTTTTCTACAAGTAGAATAACTTTTATTTTCTTCGTGTAAAATCTCTATGAAAGTCATTTTTTAAAATGTCCCATTTGTCCTCTGCTCAGATCTTAATAAAAAGAATAAAAATAAGCTGAGACTTGTTTTGTCACCTTGTTAAATGGCAGAGCTCAGACTTAGAACACAGTACTTTCCTCAAAGACTGAGAATTATTGTTTCCTACTTTCGGCTACTTTAGATCACCAATGAAATGTCAAATGATAGCAAATATAGGTAATAATATGTTAAGACTCCAAAAGAGATTCTATCCTTAAGAAACAGGTGCAATACAGTTTGTCCGAGTGGAGTTGCCATATATTAACGTCATAATAAGGGGCAGGACCCCGAGCGGATCTGGTATTTACAACAGCTGTGGGAGATCGAAGTAAAATGAACCAGATTCATTTTTTACGTTTTTACGTGGAAATGAAGGAAATATAGAAACAGGAAAAGTCAGTTAACATGAGCAACATATGATTAATGTAAAAAAAGTTCTTTCCCTTTAAAATCCCAGAATAGTCAAAATGACAGCCTTGGGAGTTCTAGTGTTAAAGAGCGGATATCATGCAAAATAATCCATGATCAGTATTTCTGAGTGGATCAGGGAAGGAACATTTATTTGAAGGAATTAACCTGAGAGGACGGAAGAGCCGTCGGCAGCAGGTGGCACAGGTGGGAGGGGACTGGAGGGCCGGTCCAGTTACTCTGAGCAAACAGATGGAGGCAGGAGACGGCGGCGGCCATTACTGTGAGCTCCCTGCAGACAGAGCAGACACACCTGGAGTTACTCGTGTCCCACTGCGTTAATAGAAGGTCTGCATGGAAGAAAATGGGTTTCATTTGTTTTTGGACCAAAGTCACAGTGAGCAGAGGCTGCCTCACCATGCTGAACAGTTTAACATCAACAAGCTACACCAGCTGCTGGGAACAAGGAAAACATCCACCTGCTCTCCTGCTGAGTTACCTGTTTGGTTTCTGCTGCTCATCATCGTCTCCTTTCAGGTACAGCAGCAGTCTTCTCTCTAGGTAGGCCTCAAGGTCCTCGCCGTCCTTGCAGCTGCCATCTCCAGACAGCACACCTGTCACCTGGGGGCTCAGCAGAACGGCCTGGAAGTCTCCCTCCAACAAGGACTGCAGCAGAGAGCCGCTCTCTGAAACAAAGCAGATGAAACAGCTCCTTGGTTTATTTCTACCAATTCAAATGTCCGTTTCCAAACCTCTGCAGAGCATTCCTTCATGCTGTATCCCTTCCATTATTTGACTGAAAAAGCTTTGTCTCTGCTGCCTTCTTCCTCACAGATCAGGTGTAGCTTTGCAATGTTATCATAGCAAACGTATCCTATGCATCCCTTTGCTCCAGAACGTGCATCTTATGCAGAGACGCCATGTAAAAAACTCCTCCAGCAGCGTCCTTCATGTTTGGTAGGAAGGCAGCATGACTAGAATGCTCCTCCTGGTCTTCCTGAATTAATAATTTAATCCCTAAAGGCTTTTAGGGATTAGTGCAAAATTAATTAATATCGGGACAAATCAAGCCTGTTTATTTATCGGCAATTATAAAAATCGAATCAGGTCACTTTATAGATTTAGTCCAATCAGATCACAGAGTCATTGAGTTCACAGGAGGTGCAGGTAGAGAGAGTAGATATTGACTCTTCAGCAATCCCTCACAATAAGCATGCTTGTAGCGACAGTGGAGAGAAAATAAGGCCAACTGGGGTTCAAGAAGTAACATCTGTCACAACCTGATCTGTACCAGAAAAGAAACCCGATCCGTGTCATTAGTTCATCTGCGTGACCAGATTAATATCCGGATCGTCCTCGATTTTACTTTGTAAAAAATACATAAATTATGTTTTATGTACTAAATATAGTAAGCGTACTAAACTATGTGTTAAAGGAAAAGTCCTGTCATATTCAGAAGTTTGAATTCTGAACCCGCCCGTGGAGGATCATGAATCAGAAAAGTGAAATAACTCTCTCCTTTTCTTTCACCTTTACCCGATGTATTCCAGCATCCAGCTGCCATGCACGTGGGCATTGTCAGTTTCACTATAGCTCTGGTGAATTTCAATGGTGAAGTC